CTTCGAAAAGCTCGCCAACGGTTCGCCCGTGTTGTTTCCATGAATCGCTCCGGCACACTGTGCCCAGATGCTTCCCAAAGCTCGACAACGGTTCGCCCGTGTTGTTTCCATGAATCACTGCGGCACGCTGTGCCCAAATGCTTCACAAAGCTCGGCAACGGTTCGCCCGTGTTGTTTCCATGAATCGCTCCGGCACACTGTGGCCAGATGCTTCGCAAAGCTCGCCAACGGTTCGCCCGTGTTGTTTTCATGAATCGCTCCGGCACACTGTGCCCAGATGCTTCCCAAAGCTCGGCAACGGTTCGCCCGTGTTATTTCCATGAATCACTCCGGCACACTGTGCCCAGATGCTTCGCAAAGCTCGCCAACGGTTCGCCCGTGTTGTTTCCATGAATCGCTCCGGCACACTGTACCCAGATGCTTCTCAAAGCTCGGCAACGGTTCGCCCGTGTTGTTTCCATGAATCACTCCGGCACACTGTGCCCAGATGCTTCGCAAAGCTCTGCAGCGGTTGCACGACATTGCTGCCATGAATCTCTCCGGCACACTGTGCCGAGACGTATCGCAAAGCTCGGCAGTGGTCCGACCATGTTGCTGCCATTCAGCCCCGGACCATTGTGCCCGCACGTATCTCAACGCCTGGAACCAGTTTGGCCATGTTGCTGTCATGGAAATGGATCTCCCTGGTGCACTGTGCCCAGACGTTTGCCAATGCTCGGCAACGGTTTGACGATGTTGATCCCCTTAATCGCTCCGGCACACTGCACCCACACGCATGACAAAGCTCGGCACCGGTCTGGCCATGTCGCTTCGCCACACTGTCCCCAGACGTATCGCAAGGCTCGGCAGCGGTCTAACCATGTTGCACCTCGTGAATCGCTCCAGCACACAGCGCCCACACGTATCACAAAGCTCGGCGCCGGTCTGGCCATGTTGATGCCGTAAATCTCTCTAGCACATGGCCCCCACAGCCACGCGCATCACAGAGCTAAGCACCGGCCTGGCAATGTTGCTACAATGAATTGCCCCAGCTCATAGCGCCCGGGAGCATCGAGGAGCTCGGCAGCGGTTCCCTCACGGTCGAGCAAGTACGTAAGACAAAGCTCAGCCCCGTGGATGGTGAGCCTCGAGACCGGTCCAGTTAAGCGAATCTCGTGGCTCACAACTCGCAGAATTCCAGCAGTGCCACAGTGCGCCGGTTATTATTAGCCGCCGCCAATCTTTACCCAGGGCCTCGCGTAGGTGAATCTATTCGCCACCCTGGTGAATAGCCCCACCCATTTCTCTCCACCATTGTTCTCCTGGTTTTCTTTGTTCTTGTTTTCCGCGTGGCCGGTCTTACCTCCGATTTCGCTGGTTTCGTGCTTTGTTGGGTTATCTAATGGTTACAACCCTAGTGGAATATGATCCATCGCTCGCTTTTTTCACATTCGCCTCTCATTCTATATTCTTAGCCATGTCTCGCATGAAAAAAGCGGCAGGGTCTGCCAAGACCGTGGCGAAAGCGTCGAACTTGCAGAAGGCGAATGCGGCAAAAGTGAAGCCACAAGGGCGAAAACCACGCACGCAGCCTTCGGACAAAACCACTTCCACAACATCTACAGCGCCATCATCTTCCACATTACCGGAGCAAGTGGATCATCTCGCGGCTCTACGCTTGAATCAACTCGACGTCGATCTAGATGACTTTGAAGCAGGTGACGTCTCTACTTTCAACCTCCACGAGAATCCAGGCTACGATCCTTTCGCTAGCGTCACGCCATCCTCTTTGACACAGAATCAAAGATCATCTGGCTATGCTTCAACTTCGTCGCTATCCGTAGGCAATGTTGGTTCTGCTGCTGCGCTAGAGGCTTTGGGAAATGGCACAGTCGCTTCTTCTGCTGCTCTCGGACAATTTTTCGATGAAGAATTTCCTAATCATGATGATCCTCAATTCGACCACTTGAGTGCACGGGAACGGAAGAAGCTGCTGAAGAATATAAAGATGAAGCAAGAGCGTCGTCGGAAACGTATGCTCGATCCTGAGGACGATGCTAAGCGGCAAAAAACTATTGCATATCCATCCAAGAATAATGCTCCTAGTACTCAACTACTAAACTCTTCTTCGGAGCCGAGCACAAACGCTAAAAAATCTTCATCAAGCATTCAATGCTCATCACCAAGTACTACCACTAGCAAGATTGAAGCTCTCGCGCGACCTGATAATGGAACAGATAACATTTGTCTTGACGAACCAATTGGTGAAAATTCTGGATCCTTTGATGCATCTGCTCTGCCTACCACTGAAGCAAACGCCGCCGCGCTCCCTGCTGCAGTTCGGCCGGCGCCTTCTTGTGCGACAAAGACTAGTCACGACAACGCCGCTGCAGCTCCGGTTGCTGCTCGAGCAGACCCAAAACGGCAATCCGAGAGAGCTCACACTTGTGCGGAAAGTGGCTCAGCTGCCGCTGCATCTGCGAATCCAAATGAACTTGTTGGTGGAGCTACGAGCAGTGCAAGCGGTAGCGCGGTTGTAGCTGCAGCCGGTGCACCTGAATCCAATTCAATCGATGCTCCCATGAGTGCATCATTCCGATGTGACGGCACCGAAATCACAGTGCAGACAGTATGCCCAGACGAATTCAAAGGATGGAGCTGCTTATGGATTCGTCGTTAACTATTACCCATTGCCTATATATAATCTACTTTTTTCTTCCTCCCCGAGAAAAAAAATCTTTCATTCTTGTACTTGCTGACGTTCAACCGCATCGGAGACATGACTGTGGAAGACCTTCTCCGCGCGATTATGACCATCTTGAAGCGAGCAGGATACGAGCCGAGGCAAATAGCTGATCGCGAAGAAAAATCCGAGAAATCACTCCGACATGCTCATAGCGGTATCCACATCCTCAAACGATTCCGCTTTAAACGTGTGAAAGCGCAACTCGATCACTACATCTACAAGGAGCATGGCGTAGAAGTGAGCAGCGACTGGAAGCCTTTATCGTTCGAAACGTGCGCGCATTATATAACGAATCCTTCATCCAAAAATTATGACTCGGGTATTAATCTGCTGCAGGACTTAGAACTTTAAATACCATTCACTTACTGCCTCATAGTTTTCATTTGCCTGAAAACGCAAACATGTTCTTTCATTCTTCGTGTGCCGCTAGTTTCGGTCAAGTTGCCAGATGGACACACGAATCGATAGTGGAGCGTCCCTTAGAAGAAATCGCGCTTGGGTGCCCCGACTCGAAGCAGAAAAAAGAAATGGACGCTTATGGTGCTCTATTTCTAGTCATAGTAACATATATCATTTTATCTCCAAGCATTTCCCTACCTTGCATTCACATTACTCGCTAATCTCTCGAGGAGTTTTGGCAGACGTACAAATTGAAAAAATGGAAAAATGAATCTGAGTTGTGGATACAAGCGGAGGAAGATCTTCGTTTGCGAAGGTATTTATTGCGCGGCCGTGGCGACTACAAGCACAAACTTCACATCTGCAAATCCATTGAAAACGTTCTTCAAGGATCAACCCTGCCTCTCCTCGACCTGCTGCTGCAGCCGTATCGTGATAATCCTGGACACAAATGCAAATTCTACGACGTCTGGAAATTAGCAGTGGAAACGCAAACGAAGAAGGACAAAAAATATTTCGCATGTTATGGAGCATTCATATTCGGAACTCATATAATAGCTTTTTAATCTCATTATCCTCTCGCCTCTTTCATGGTGCGAGAATATGCAACTGGGCCAAGAGAGGACGTGAAAGAGGTAACTGGGTAGTAATCGTTGGCGTCGCAGGTTCCGGAAAATCGCGCTTCTCCACCGAGATGATAAAAAGTACTTCTTCCTTATTCATTTATAAATTATACAACTAATCAACATCTACAAATTTTCGAACCTCATCATGTACTAGTTATTATAATTTTTAAGTCTATCCATACAGGTATACTGAAAAAAGAAGCTTTCGACTTGCCGGCTGGAGACGCGAACTTTGGCATGTACACTTTTTTGGAGCGAAATATCAAAGCGCTTGACATGGACGAAATTCTGTTATCACGTTTTGCAAGCCTCATGGGGAAAGGCATGGGCACTGCAGGCTGGTGGAAACGGCTACTATCCTTCTGCGCCACAACTTCCGTGGAAATACCTCTACCACGCAATACCGGAGAAACCCAGGATGCTATTTGGGAAAACGATGCTCCAATGTGGTCATCCACAACTCGAAAGTTGAAATTTAAACTAGGAGATGAACCTTCTTTTACTAATCACCTAGAAAATGAAGAAGAACAGGAGCAACTTGATGAAAGAATCGAATATTCCATATGGCCTGTAAAGCTCGACAAACAGTTTCCAAAGATATTTGGTGCTAAGGCTAAGATGAAAAAATCTTGGCATCCATGCGATATCTGCTTTAGTAAACATTTATGTGAAGCGCATGACGAATACGATGCTATTTTGAAAGAAGTTCTAGGTAATGATGACTCCGACGATGACAAGCACGAAGACTTTGTATGTGACGAAATAACTGAGCAAGTTGATGATAATTTTGAATTTTAGCATCCGAAGAAAGCAATCTATCTATACATCACCATTGATTAACCAACCATCCACGAAAATAGCTGCAACTACAAAATAAAACTTTCCTCCTCATCTACATACTTCTTGGGCATGGGACACGACCAGATGTAACATATAATGGACCTAACGTAAAATATTGTATAGCGTGTATAGTAAAGTCTCTTTTTGTCACTACATGAACATATAAGCATCTGACATAATTGGTCTCCAACAGAAGTGCGTGTTCTCCTACCCGAGTGACTTCTGTATACTTAGGATCACTTGTAGAGCTTTTATATTGAGAGCAAAGCCCGTTTCCTCTAGACAAAGAGAGAAAAATTGCGTTTCTGTCTTCAACTAAACACATCTTGCCCAATGGACACCATGCGAGGGAAGAGAGAAAAGTCTTTATCCCACCTCTTTTATCGTCGCTATCTACCCCCCGCAAAATTCCAGAATTCGTTTACATGGTCTTAACTCCCGCATGCTTAAAAATCATCCTTTGCTAATTACTCTCGCCCCAAGCTAAATTAACATCAGCGCCTAATTCTGTTGCTCTGCAATTCGCTGAGTTTTCATTTCTCTTTTGCATGGATAACATTTATCTAGAGTGAAAAAGAAATGTCGTCCTCAACACGCAGAAATCCACCAGACTGGGAGAGGACAGTGAAGCGCTTCATCCGCAACCAGATGCGTGCTGAATTTCAACGACTAGTACTAGATCTTTCATTTTTCTTCGTTGAATCAAAAGAAAATGTTTTTTAGCCAATCGCCATAATTATCATTTTCGATTATCTATCACAATTGTGAATATTCTACTAATTTCAGGGCCTAGCATGGCACGACGAACAAACACAACTTCCAGAGGCTCTCACGAACCCACCTGTTCTACCACCGTTGCCACCGCTACCGCCTCAAGATGCTGCTCCACAAGCCGCGGGTTGTGTGCCAAAGCCAGTGCTTCAACTTCCGGATCTGCCTTTGGCAGCATCTACAACGCACTACTCATCTAGTACAACAAACGCAGCACTACCAGTACCCCACGAATGCGAAACACCTAGCACAACCACAGGATCCATATGGAGTACACCAATCAAAGTTGACAAGAACAAGCTGCAACCAGGGAGCCCTCTCACGGCTGAGTCTGTGATCATGCTACTGATCCTAGCCAAAAAAATAGAAACGGATGATACTTCTGTTACTTTTTCTTTCTCATCTAAACAGAATTGAAAATAGTAACTAATCATCTTATCTACGCAATCAAATACCATCCCCGCCTCCCATACCTACCACAGCCCACACCCCAAACCAATCCACCGTCCCACACCTCCCCAGCCACCCTTCCCAAAACACCAACTACCACAACCTCCATTCCGACCTGGCAAAAATCGCTCACCCCAAAGCTGAGGGCCGGTGTACTCCGCGGGGGAGCTTCCCAATCCACCCAGCTCTGGGGTGAGCGATTTTTGCCAGATCGGTTTTGTGAGTGAGGGTGTTAGGGGATTGGTTTAGTTGTGGTGTGGGGTCTTGGGGTGAAGGGTTGTGGGTGTGGGGGCAGGATGGATGGTAGTTTGGGGTGTGTGTTATAGGTGTAGTATGTGATTGGAATTAGGTGTGCTTTCTGTGTGATGATTTATGTATAGTAGATTTATTATGTTTTGAATGGAACTATGAACAGATCAGAAATTTCATATACATAAGGAGATCAAAACACACATACAGATCGAAGCGTTATGATCAAGAAGAGTAGAAAGTTCTTCACATGCAAGGAAAAAAAGGCCAACGTAGATCATTTGATTATTTCACATTTGAAAGGCATCGGAGCTAGATCATAAATTTATTACATGTGAAAGGCATCGGAGCTAGATCATATATTTATTAGTTGAAATTGATGAAGCTACTCTCTTCTTTTCGAAATAGGAAGCAGGATCAGAGTTTTAAAGTGGAGGCTTAGTATTGTGGGGTAGTTATTAAGATTTTGATCTCTCGAGTGGTTTAGAATATTTAGGATTACAAGAGCTAATCAAGGTTTTTTAGCTGTGGAGATTTAGATTATTTAGGATTAGACTTTGTTCTTCAGTACTCTGCAAGTAGGCATCATGAGTTCCTCTTCTCAGGCACCTATTCCCACTGAAGGAGATCGTCTCCGAGAAACCGTAGATCAATTACGAAATCACGTTTCTGAAAATCAGACTAAGATGATGACATTGAGAAGAGAGATGAATTTTATCAAATCGCAGACTAATAGTTTTCGTAAGGTTATTCTTCTTTCTGGCAATCGATTAAAAGTGTTAGATCACGAGCAACGAGTGCGAGATCGTGCTGTTCGTGAACGTGATAGTCGTAGAATGTGAGTCTGTTGGAGGTAAAACGAAGTTTCTGGGTGGAAGGTTTTCTTTGAGGACGAGAGATTATTATTTGTTTTTTGTTCTTGGGAAGATGGATTTTCATAAATGATGAATGAATCATTTGTAGGTAGTGTGTAAGGTTTGTTTTTTTTTCCCTCCCGAATACCCTGGCATTTTAGTGTATTTCTATCGTGGTGAAGTTTCTGCATCGATCGTGTGTTGTTCTTTGATTGTTAGTCACCGTAGGAAATTCTCCTGACACATCAGTAGTTCTTGTTTGTATTCGTAGGTCTAGGCTACCACTCTGATTACCCGAAAATGTCTGACACGCTACGAGAATTGGAAACGCGCATGGAATCATTCAAGCGAGCAGCGGAAAGCGTGCTCGAACTGATTAAGGAGAAGCGGGATAAGGTGTTATCGTTAGCATTTGATTTTTAGATTTTTTTTTTTTTGTTTCTGATGCTTCAGTTATGGTCTAGTTTTATGCTGGGTGGTTCTCCTTTCTGTTTATACTATAAATATGATAACTTTTCAGATTACGGTCGAGGGGGAAGATGAATCTACGAGTGCTGGCACTCCTGGAACTGATCAAGCCGGTGATGGATTGATCACACTTGACGGCTTGCCTTTGTTCAATCCGTATGTCAACAACAACGATGCGCCCGCTGCCCAGGTGGAGGAGGAACCAGCATCACAAGTGGAGGAGGATGTAGTGGAGCAAGCAAGTGTTGTCATCGCAGAACCTGCGGGTTTTGGTTTTGGTGGATTGCCGGCAGTAGTCACAGTGGCGGGCCAACAGCAACAACTTCAGGCGCAAGCAGTACGAGTGCAAACGAATAATCCTTTTGCCGGTCAAGCACTAGCTCCTCAAATTGTAGTTCCTCAAGTAGCAGCTACAGGAATACAAGGTGCACCAGCACAAGCAGAACAAGTCCGCCCTGCAGTGGTGCAACCAGTTGCTGCTCCGCCAGTTGTTGGGGTTGAACCAGCAGCACAAGGAGCTCCAGCTCCACAGCCTTTGGTAGGAGCAGGCGCGCCAGGAGGAGCTCCTTTTCGTCCAGTTCAACATCGTCCCGTGCAAGAAGGTGTAGTAGCTGGTTTTGTTGCTGCAGGCGGAGAGTTCGCAACCCTGTTGGAACGTTTGCGTGCCGAAGGTCGTTACCTGGACTTTATTATGGCTTATTTATAATGCAACCATGTTCTTTTGATTCGATGCCCATCTTCTATCTCTAATGTGTGCAACATAGAGCAGCGCGATGTGGAGTCTTTTACTTTCGCAGGGCAGCCGATGGCAGAGGATGATATCTGCTCGAACATCGTAACCGCGCTCACACGTGAAAAAGCGACATGGATGCGACAACGAAGGATTCTATCTGAATGGCAGGAGAGCAATTTCTTGGTGGACGCTAGAGGTATTCCAGCACGATGGGGTGGACTTACGCGAAAGCAGAAGAGGAGCTACGCTCAGATGTGGTGCAACTTCGTAGTCGGCGATGCTTTGTACAACCACAAGCAGGGACAAGTAAGAGGAGATAAATTCCAAAAGTTATGGCTACGCAAATTGTTATCAGAGGTGGGGATCGTTATTGTATTTGTAGTGTTACATTTGTTCTCTCTAAGAAGTTGCTTCGTGATGTCGATGGTGTGCCAGTTCGCGTGCGGGAAAGAGGCTTCACAGAGACAGGTGGAGAACTTTTTTCGAGCTACCGTGTCTACTGGAATTAGACTTGAACAAGCTCGAGTGTGGGGCCAGGCAATCGCGAAGAAGTACATAGATCCTACGATCCTCGCGGCTGCTTCACCGGAAGATGACGATATTGCTTTGGAATTTTAACAAGGTTTTACTTAGTACAGATGAATTAGATTATTAGTCATGTGAAGTTCATCATGAGTGTCTTGTCTGTTGACCGTTCAATCATTGATTAGAGTAGGTCCAAGATTATTTTTTCTCATGTATGATATCTAGTTTTCTTTGGCATAGTGTTGATATGTAGACAGGTCTGTGACGTTGTTGACCGTTCTATCTGCGGATTGAGTAGGTCCAATTGTAATCGCATGCTCGTGTTCTGATGTGAATAATGAAGTATCATAAAATGATATTGCTATTAGAAAACTGTTGACCGTTCATCTTCGTGATCGAGTAGGCCCAGTTAGGATGTGACTTGTCATCATTTGTTTCTTGTTCGGGATATATATAATTCATGATTACTGCATTCGTGACATTGGCCGGATGATATTTTTTCCTTGGACCTATATGGATGGCTTTCTGCACAATGCTTCTTTACAACATAATTGAGAAGTTTAGTTACTTTCTTTCTTGGTTAGCTTCGTGTTCCCATGTACATGGAATGAGAACCGGAAGGAGATCTACAATATCAAGGTCGCTTCGTTATCTGTAGATGAGATCTTGTTCTTCGTAGTTCAAAAAAGATTTGAGATCTTAACTGGTGAGGAGCAAATGGAAAGTATGAGTGGTTCTAGGAGATCAAAGATCGACGAGAGACCAGTTATAAGGTTTTTCTATATTTGATATTTATACCACGGAATGATCATGTTTCTTGTTACATCCAGGTCGATGCGAGGTAGTGAGTTACTAGGATAGAACATACATACGAAACTATATCACGATGAGCATTGGGTCACAGAGAGGTAAGGCGCTGGCTTTGTACACCTTCTGGAAAGGCAAGGTGAAAGCGATTGGAAAACGGATTCGGAAGCTGCAGGGGAAAATTGCTCCGTCTCCAGGACAACCGAAAAATAAGATCCAAAATCGAGACGCAGATGCGCTTTCAGCTCTAATGAAAGAGTTAAAGATCGCTAAGCAGCAGAAGAAGCGCTATAAATCTGTGGCAGAAAAAGTTGAAGGAAAGCTACAGCAGATGGCTACGTCGAATCTTATTGAGGATAGTGATTCGGATTCAGATGATGCTGATAATATTTCTGCTGCAGATTCGTATGCTGCATCAGTATTTGACAGCGATATGCAGGGTGACAGCAATTTTTCTGCTGCGGAGGAATCTGCGCTAGACGAGTTTCTCCTAGGCGAGTCGGGATCAGCGCCCTCTGGTATCAAGAGAGATGCCGACGAAGAGCATTCGGCAACACCTGGCGACGTTGAAGGAAAGAACACGAAAACGAGTGGAGCCGAAGCCAGTGGAGAGCGTGGAAAGGAAGATCAGCCAGCGCCTGCCTCTCTTTCTTAAAGATTTTATCTTGATTATGATTTACGTATTGACTATAAATATATGGAATTCATGGGATGGTGATTCATAATTTCTTGAGGTGCAGGATTTTTTTTTTCTCAGATGTGTTATCGTATTTGTTTACTTCTTAGTTGGTGATATTAGAAAATGTTTCTTTCGTCTTCGTCGAGCTCTAAAAGTCCATCCTTCGTATCATGTTTTTTGCGTTGTCATTTATGTAAGGCGAATAGGAATGTCTTGATTCCATGTGGATATAACTGGTTACCACTGACTAAGTATGAATGTCGTTTCACTGGCCTCGTCTGTGCGGCCGTTCAGCGTGATGGAGCATCTCACTTTACCAAGCGAAGCGCAGATAAATTCTTTTATCATGCGCAGAGCAGGAAACTCACTGTTGGTGAAAGGAAGAAGTGTGAAGAGTACGGCGTCACAGGCGTTGTTCGTAGTGCTGATGTGGAGTCATCAGCCCCAGTTTCGGATATTGTTGTTGGTAAGCGGCCAGCCGTTGCAGTTGCTGCTTCACAAGACTTTAGCTATTCTGCTCCAGCAAAGTATCGCTTCATTGAAGTGGAGCGACAGGCTGCAGGTAATACTGCACCTGTGGATCACTCACATCTCGTGAACCCGAGAACGCCTACAGCTGCTTCAGATGTTGATCCGTTCGCGCATCTCCAAGAAGCTAATCTATGGGAGGTGCAAGAAGAAGTTGCAAAAGAGAAAAGGGAGAAGACGAAACAGAAGAAGACTGAAAAGCAACGAGAAGTGGTTGAAGCGGACCCAAACTTTGGGATTACAATGAGCCTTAGGCAAGAACTATCAGCACCTTTTGCGGACGTATCGGATGACGAAGGATCCATAGCAGGAGGTTCAGAGAAGAGCTATGTTGAAAAGTTCGAGGAGATTCCACCGCCAGCTAATATCCAGGCTGATTCTGAATCGGAGTGGGAAGATGATGATGTGTTTTTCAAACGCGATCGGGATTGGCTTGTGGAGCGTGTTCCCACGGAGAGAAACAGGGAACGGCCTCGGCAAGCAGCGGAGATGCGTGTGCTGCAGCTGTTGGTTGACAGACGCGTGGAGCAAGTTACTCCTACTCTGTTTGGCACGGAGATGCGACGTCTTGCGCAACGGCCTGACTTCCTGGCGAAGAATAGCATCGGCTACAATTTCGCGCCTAATGGTAAATCAGAAGGAAGCTTTGTTATGAATGTTCGGAACTGTTACCGCTTGGTGCATAAGCGTTCTGGCCAGAGGCGACCTATAACGAAGATTCCGACGAAGAATCCAAAAGCAGCATCATGGCGCCACACTCGTCCAAAAAGGTTTAGAGCTACTATCGAAAGCTGGGTTGCGTTCTCCAACATTCGCGCAGAAATAGCTCGCGAGCTGCAAAGACCACCGGGCGCGAATCTGGCAGATGTTCTCATTCTTGTGAATGTGGATGAAGTTGCGGTTCGTCGTAGATACGGCATTAGAGGTGGAATGTGCTGCAATTTATGACAAATATTCTTCGGAACTAATTAACATCGTGATGGTCAATTTTTAACTTTTCCCTTTGTTCACCATCACGTTGTTTCACGGTTTTTAAGAATGTTACTTTCTTATTTATTCCTGCTCTCGCGGAGGATTCGTTTGGTAATCAAGAGGTTGACTCCGTGGATCAGCAAGCTACAATTTTAGCGGTCGCGACCAACAACGAAAAGTATCTTCCAAGCAATGGCTATGCGGTTTTGCCTCGTCACCATTTTCAAGGAGTATCTGGAGAGAAGAAGGATCGCAGGAATAAGGTGAAGGCTGCTATGGCACCTTGGGGCGAAGCCGTCTATTCGGCTAAAAACGGACTGAGCGGGAAGATGAATAAAGAACTGTATATAAAATGTCTCGAGGACATTCTTCTATGCAAGAATAACAAGGATAAAGAACTAGGAGTTACAACGTATATGGTGCTTCTTCACGATGAAGCGAATAGCCATGCGATTCCAGACGCTGTTGCGATGGTGTGGAAGAAGCTGTACAATTGTTGGCTCTTAAAAATCGGCGGAGGTGGGACTGCGTGCGTTCAAGTTATAGACATGCCTGCGGGGCCGGCTCAGCAGATTTCTAAAATTGGAAGAAGCGCGTGCGCGCATAGCAACAGCGATACGTATATGTCAGAGTTTTTTTGGAAGAAGTTGAACGAGGAAAAAAATAAATGGTTCTCTCAGACGTGGTTCGATAGGGTGGGTTTCAGGGTTGACGGAAAGGTTGAGCAGCCAAAGGAACTGGTTTCATCATTACGTGAATTTTTATTATGTGCTTTGAGTAAATATCCACTAGAATGTGGCGAAATTTTAAACGAAGCACGCACG